CAAAATACCTTGTAAAATCGGTTGCAGCAACTTTTATAGTATGCAATTTGTTATTCTTTAATGGTTTTCTTAATTTAATGAATAAATGGAATGGATAGATGCCAAATACTTGTATGAACGGACCAAAGATTTTGTTGAATGATTGATCATTGATCGTATCATTGACAATAAAAACCCATTCCCAACGCATCAGTTTAGATTTCGAAGAAACCACTTAACTATTGGAAGCAAACCAAGTATGTCCTGCAGCCATTTGAGATGTTTCGCAAGCCTTTAACAAAGTGTGGCACACTATTTTGTTAAATTTCAAATTAAAATTAAAGTTACCGAAGCAGTACTGTGAAATTCTACCACCGTATCTTGAAGACAGATACTTTCGGGTAAAAGGCTTATTCTAGACTTATAAATATCAGTGCTGTTGTGCCACAAAGGTAGCAGATATTTCTGTACCTGCCATATACGTCTGACTTGCCGACTTTAAATCAATTTATTGCTGCCTCATTTGTTGATGATAGTGCTCATTTAGCAGTTCACGAAACAATAAAAAAGAGAACGGCTTAATTACAATCCGCTGTAAGTTCTATGGTAGCATAGGCAGCAGTGGCTTATATAACTTAACAACACCAAATCAATGCATGTAGTTTTAAGATTAAAAAATATGTCTTATATTTCAGTATATATAAATTCCACGAAAATACAACATGCTAATGAAACAAAATACTTTGGTATGACACTGAATACAAAGCTGCTACAAAAAAAGAGATGAACTTCACTTAAAATTAAACAAGATAAGTTATCTTATTGGCCGTAAATCCAAACTGTTAACCTACAATAAATTATAACTATACAAACAAGTCTTAAAACCAATATGGATGGATGTATAGTATACAACTGTGGGGATGTGCCAAAATTCATCTATTCCAAATTGCAAAGCGTAGAAATGCACCATTCTATGTTCGAAATTTTGACTTTCACCATAACAAGGTACAACTATACGCCAAAGCGCAAAAAGAACGATTAACATATCATGTCAATACTAAAGCTTCCGCTCTTGAAAGTGCTGCTTAATGTCGACGGCTAAAACGTACAACAGTACATAATTATTTAAATAATTATGTAGGCATTTAAAGTATTAGCTGTACCGGTATGAAATGAGCGTTTTTGGTGAAAATAAAACACTAATTATTAATAGGAAAGTAAAAAACATTTTATTCAAAGTATTGACAATTGCTTTCTACACATTTTCACCACCTTTCTGGCAATTTGTGGATACCACGCCAAAAAAAATTGTTCGTCTTTTGAAGCAAACCAACCAGACACCCATTTTCCACACTTTTGGATCTTTCCCATAGCTTTTAAACGGTCAGAAACTGTTTGTTGTGCAACATTTAACATTTCTGCCATTTGCTTTTGACCCAAAGTGTCATCTCCATCCAATATCGTTTGCAATTCGGCGTCTTCAAACTTTTTTGGCGGTCTTCCACGTTCTTCATTTCTCACATCAAAATTATTATTTCTGAACCGTTGAAAACATCTTTTGCATGTTGCTTCTGATAGAGCAATTACCATATGCCTCGACAAGCATTCGATGCGACTCTGCACCACTTTTCTTCAAATGAAAACAAAAAATTAATGCTTTCCGCAAATGTTGTCTGTTCAATGACTTGATGTATACTAAATATATTTCACACATGTCATAGCAAACAAACAAAAAGAAATAAAGGCTCGTTCACAACAAATGTTCCCTGTCGGAACATTTGTATCTTTACGCTCACTTCATACCGGTACACCTGGTATATGTTGCTTTTATTGTTTCTTAAATTATATAATATTATCTTGTCCTAACTTATCTTATCTACAAACTTCTTATCAAACTATCTTATCTTCTTATCTATCTAACACTTCGTTCAATAATGTGTGTGACTAACTAATTAAAACACATTTTTTTGCCAAAATTCGTTTTTATTCATCAACATAGTCCCCTTTTAGGGAGATACAATCATTCCAACGCTTTAGCAATCTTTCGACACCACCTTTGTAAACCGATTTTTCTTTGCCTTCAAAACAGGCGTTAGTTTCTACGATTACTTCATCATTTGAGCCAAATCTCTTACCACGGAGCATCATTTTGAGGTCTGCGAAGAGCCAATAGTCGCTAGGGGCCTAGAGATCTGGAGAATACGGTGGGTGCGGCAGCAATTCGTAGCTCAATTCGTTCAATTTTGCCATCGTTTTCATCGACTTGTGACACGGTGCATTGTCTTGGTGGAACAAAACTGTTTTCTTCGTCATATGAGGCCGTTTCTTTGCGATTTCGTCTTTCAAACGCTTCAATAACGCTATATAATAGTCGCTGTTGATGGTCTTCCCCTTCTGGAGATAGTCGATGAATATTATTCCATGCGCATCCTAAAATACAGACGCCATAATCTTGCCAGCCAACTGCTGCGTCTTTGGTCGCTTTGGGCGGCTTTCACCGGCTGCTTGCCACTCAGCAGACTGCCGATTTGTCTCTGGAGTGAAATGGTGGATCTATGTTTCATCCATCATAATGTACCGACGCAAAAACTCCGACTTATTGCGCGTAAACATGTCCAAACAGCTCTTTGAATCATCGATTCGTTGTTGTTTTTACTCCGGTGTGAGCAAACGCGGCACCCATTAGGAAAACACCTTTTTCATACCCAAATGTTCGTGTATTATGGTGTGTACACTACATGCTGATATCTGTAGAATGTCAGCAATCTCCCTCACTTTCACTTTACGGTCGGACCTAATGATTTTCAGTGTTTTTTCAACGTTTTCCGGAATAACAGCGTCATTTGGCCGTCCAGTAGATGGAATAACATCGGTGTCTGTAGGACAACGTTTGAATTCGGCATACCAATAACAAATGCTTTTTGATGCAGCAGAGTCCGAATAATGTTTTTCAAGCCATTCCTGGCATTGAACAGTATTTTTTTTCATTAAAAAACAATGATAAATCAGCACACGGAATTGTTTGAATTCATTTTTTTTTTTTGAAAACTCAAAAGTAGCGTCACTTAAAGCACTGTAACTTGTAAATAAATGGTCGGATTAAGATATGATTTTGATAGTAAGCCTAAAAAGGTTGCTACTTTCGAAAAAAAATATTTATTTAGTATTAATGCCGCCATCTATGTGTCAGTCACACACATTATTGAACGAAGTGTTATACTCAAACCAATCTGGATATATGGCATTGAACTCTGGCAAACTGCTGCATCTTCAAATATTAAGATTATCCAACGTTTTAAATCAAAAACACTTAGATTAATCTTTGATCTCAATATTCCCGTAGTTAAGGATGTTATAAAAAGCCAAGCCAGTAAACACAAAAAACGTATATTACATCATCCCAACCACTTTATGAGCAGAATGATAACAGAAGAAAGAAGGTTCACACGCCTCCGCAAACAAACGCCACTGGAACTTTAATGTGTCCGACTTCAACAGACGCATGTGCTACTGAGCACAGTCCATTCAAGCTCACAAAAATTTTAAGTATTTGGTCACTTTTAAATATTGTTTATTGTCTATTTCGAATTGACAGATCGCAATATAAGAAAATAAATTAAAAAAAAAAAATAATTATATTAACTTAAATAAAATTGATTGTTAGTACATAAACGTTTTGCTGCAGTTGTAATTATCAAACGTCTCAGTATTCTTATGCAGATATATTCAAGGCAATCCATCAAAATCAAATCCAGGGGGAAGCCAATCAAACCAGTAACTATCTGAAGGAAATTGTAAACAATTTCTTAAATAATATGAAAGAACTTATGACCACAATGCAAAACATGATGCAAGCTTTAATTAGAAAACAGTCTTTCATCTCCACCTATTCATCAAGACAATGAACTCTCTCAATAAATGTTATTGGAATGCTAACGGTTTACACCATCACAAAAATGAACTGCAAATACTTCTCGATAGACAAGTGATTAACATAATGCTCATATCTGAAACCCACTAAATAAAACTATTTTGAAATTAAAGGATTCGAGAGTAATAACACCCAACATCTAGAAGGTAAAGTCTGCTAAGGATTACTTAAAAAAAATTTAATAAAATATTATGAGATGGAAAAATACTGTAAAAATCACATTTATCTCTGATAACGCTGCAAAAATAATTATTTTTGCAATATACTCCTCGTCATAATATATCCGAACATCAGTTTTGTGGAGTCTTTTCACGGGTAGGCAAAATATTTTTAGTAACGGGGACCTGTAGTGCTAAGCATACTTTCGAAGAGTACAGACTTATTTATCAGAAAGGTAGAAATCTAAAGAAAAGCAAACAAAGAAAATAATTTAATTGTACGTCTACAAGGCAGCCAACAGATCTTACTAAAATACCATACCTAATTGACTTTGGAGAGACCTATAAATAGGTCGGAAGTAAAAATACAACCAATTCTTGATTAATCCTCTGTTCCCAAACCTTCATTAATTACGCATTCTTCTATGTTAAATTTAGATATTCCACTAAAAAAGACAGGAACGTTCTATTTTAAACATTTGTTTGTTTTTTCAACGTTGAGAACAACTTTGTCAGCACATTTTTATTCAAAATTTATCACTTCTGCAATGCGCTAGATAATTTGCCTTGTCCATTTTGACTTTCCTGTTTAAAGTTATTTATACTATTTTAAATAATTTAATGTTACAATGTTTAAAACGATAAAGAAGAATTTTTAACTTTTATATGTTTTAAAAAATTAAAATTTAACTCATTAAAACATGTAAATTACTGCGTAAATTAAAAAAAGGAAAATATTTAAACAAAATATTTATATTGATAATTGTGTGTATAATAAACTGTTGACAGTTATCCACTGGGATTATAACTGTTATAGGATTTTTGCACCGAATCCACATGCAAAATTTAAATGTAAATAAAATTAAAAAAGAATTATGTATTTTTTGAAGGACATACTTTTTGTTATATTTAATACTAAAAATTATTTTTACCTTTTTTCCATGTCTTCTATGTCCTGGTTAACTTTTTTTATTCTTTTATCTGCTACCGTAAGCTCATTTTTGCAATTATTGAGTTTTCGTTTTCTATCTTCCACCGAGATTTCTTGCAATGCTTGAATCAATTCATCTCTTCTTCGGAAAAGATTATTTATAAGTAAATTATCTAACTTATTTTTGATAACTTCTAGTTGCATTCTTTGTGTAAATGCATCTTTATTTTCTTGGTTTAATCTCCTGATATCATCATTTAATTGATCGATTTCATTTTGATCTTGTACCGACAGAGTTGACATTAGTTCCTGGTTAAGTTCAGCTTCTAATCCTGCTTTTGTACCATTCATTGCCTCCAAACTCGACTTACATTGTGCTGCTGATCTCTCTTTTGGAGCACGATACTTTTCTATTCGCAATAATTCTTCCTTCATCAAGCGAATTTCTCCTTGAACTTTTTCTAAAATATCTTTAGATTTTCCTTGTTTCGTTTCCGTTTTTTGCATTTCGGATACAATTGAATTGATATTACTTTCAATTTGTTTCAAATCATTGCGTATTTTACCTAATTCCTTTTCAAAATCACGTATTTGCTGGGAATATTCTGTTCTTTTCTTCTGCATTTCAAGACGAGATCTAGATGTATTGAAATACCCACCAGTTAAAGAGCCTTTCGATGAGACTTGGTCACCGTCAAGTGTAACACAATCAAGTCCAGTACTCTTAGCTAATTCTGTAGCTCGCTCCAAATTTCTACATATCAATGTCTTTCCAAAAATATATCTTAAAGCCTTATCATGTTGCTCATCATATTTTAATTTTAATATCATCGGAATCGAATCTGGATCATCTGGATAATCATGTACTTTAACTTGTAAACGATTTAAAGGCATAAATGTTACTTCGCCTGGTAATTTCAATTTATTCATTTCTTTCAATATCTGTGTTCCGACTCTATCTGATTCAACTATATGGTGAAACAGTCTGTTACCTGCTGTCACCTCAACAGCAGTGTAAATAGTTTTATCACAACTAAAATTTTCAATAACAGGTCCATAATAAGCTTTTGCAATATCTGCAAAGGTATTTCCTCGTTCAAAAAAATTATCTAAAACCTTACGTACAGAGTCACGACCATTCAAAATAGGTTTTCCTGCCATACTTCTCAACGCTTGGTCAGTTTTAGAAAGTTCTTCTTTATGACTTTGTAATTGTTGTGTCATTTGAGTTTCTTTTCTCCATAATTCATTCCTATTTGCTTGGTATTGATCTTTTGTTTTTTTGAGGTCGTAGTATTTTTTATTTTGTTCATCAATTTGAAGACGTAATTGATCTAACTCAGATGAATGATCTTCAATTTTTCGACCTAATTCTTGTTCTGCATTTGCATCCTTTTTTAAGTCTTCTATCAGCTTTGTATAATGATTGATTTTATCTTTTATTTGTTTACTTAATGACTTCAATTCACTATATATCCATTTATCACGTTCTTCTCGCGATGAAAACTGGGATCCACGACCTTGTTTTGCATAAAGTTCTTTTCTTTTTTGCTCTTTTAAAGATAATTCCCTTGAACATTCTTCTTCCTTTCGTTTCATAAATTCATATTTTGGTTTGACTTCATCTAATTCTTTCTCTTTTTCAGCAATTGTTATTTTTAATTTTTTCAATTCTTGATCTGCACGTTCTTTTGACTTATTATCCCCTTGCACTTCATCATTTAAGTCCACAATAGTTAAGTCAAGTTTTGTTTTCTCGCGTAGTAATTGCTGTTGTTCAGTTATAAGGATGGAACGCTCCTCCTTTATTGAAGCAACATTTTTCTTTGCATCTTTTAAGCTTTTTTGAATATCTTTTATTTTTTCCTGAGATTTTTGAATTTCTTTATTATAATTTTTTTTTTTATCCATGGAGTTTTTTTTTTGTTGCTGCAACTCATCTAATGTTTTTCTGGTTTCTCTTAGTTCAGTTTCATGTATTATATACTCCAAACACCGGCGAGCCTTATCCCATTTTTGATATTCTTTTAGTTCTTCTTTTTCTTCTTCAAGAGTCTGTAAACGATCTTCTATTGTTTTTAAATATTCTGAAATTTTTTCCAATTTACCTTCAGTTTCGCGCAATATATTCAGCGATTCTTCTTTTCTTTCATCATATACACGAGTTCCAGCCACTTCTCTTAACAATTTTAACCTGTACAAATCTGCAGCAGTAGCCATTTGATTAATTTTGCCCTGCTTAACAATATAGTATGGATTAGAATTAGAAAATCCTGCGGACTCTAACAAATTAACTACTTCAGTACGTGGAACTACTTTCTTGTTTAAAAAATATTGATCTTTTTTTGCGCCAATTACTCTTCGAAGATATATTTCATCCTTATCAATCTATAATTAAAAAAGTAAAAATTTTATAAAACATTCAATTATGTGATTTTATGATTTATATGAAATTATTGTTTGTTTACAATAAATAGTTCACATATATAATATGATAAGGGTGTAGTAAATAAATTTGTAAAGTAGTGAGTAAAAAATTAGACACATCAACAATTATACATATTCTTGATTATCTCGACGAAATTGCATGAATTAACAGTTTCCAGTTAGTAACGGACTTTGAACGTTTATAAAAATCGTATGAATATACCATAAAAAGTGTGATCATATATTAATTAATTGATCATCTATTATATCATTAATGATTTTATATAAAGCAGTACCAGGATCACGCAAATTATTTAATTTGCAATCAGTAACACTAGTTTAAGCCAATAATTTCCAAAGACGAGACTTATATGTCCTATAGGGAAATTCATGGGGCCCCGCATATGGCCCCATAATTTTATTTCTGAAGTTACCTCAGTAGTGCGTGATATATCAAATTAAAGGTGAAACTTGTACAAACAAGCAACAAACGTTAATGTAACTTATTTAGTTTTGCTGCTATAGATGAAAATGTATAGATTAAAAATGTTTTTTTTACGTTTTTTTCAACTTTTTCGATTTTCAATGTGATAGGACTCCCGCAAAAATATTTAAAAAAATTTCTTTTTTTGATTGATGTTAAAGACTGTTTTAGTACAAATATTTCGAGTGGCTTAACATAAAAATCGAAAAAAAATTTCAGAAGTTATTCGCCTTTTTCCAAATTTGCCCAAAATAGTGGTTTTTATTCACAAGTCAGAAAAATCATTTTTTCGAATTTATTTTGCAAAATTTAGAGTGCAAATCAAAACTGTATTGTGTAAAATTGTACAAATTTTATTTAAAAATTAATATTATTAAATATTAATATATTGCATTTTATATAAAAGTTTGACGTTCTACTGCTCCTACCGTTTGATGATGGTATGGTGGGCCCATAAGTGAGAATAAAATTGTCGAAGATTGCTTTGGCAACAACTTTAGCATGTTTACTGGGTATTGGCACTGCTGATAAATTTTTAGTTAAATCACACAAAATTGTGACCGCATATTCATTACCATTTTCAGATTTTGAGTAAGGACCTATAGTGTCTATTTCAACTGTCGAAAAAGCTGTCGTTGGGGTTTTTGTTATTATCAATGGCTTTAGCGTTAAAGCAATTATTGTGTTTTTAAATATTTTATTGCCCATTTTTTTAAAAGGGCTTTTTCACAATTTCATTTAGGTGCGCGCGCAAAATAATATCACTGCGTATTTTTGATATTTTTCAAGTGCAAAACGTGCAAAATAATTTAAAATTTTTATCGCAATAAATCGAGACAGTGACTCCTTACAAAAATTTATAAAAATATTAGTGCCAGACTTAACATCAAAAATTAAATTATTAATATATTTATATTGTTGATATGCAAAATATATTTATTTGCCTTAAATTCACACACTTTTAAAAACAGCTGATAGAGACAGCAAATTAAGCTCTAAAGCTTAAATAAAAAAACAAGAAAAGTGTTGGAAATAGAAAAAAAAACTGTACAAATTGCATCTCACAATATCGTGTAATTGTGTAAATTGTGTAGTTAACTTGTTAACTTATGCTAAACAAATAAAATTAATAAATACATACTTATATATAAATCAAAAAGAAGTTCAAATCAATTACACAAAATATTACTGCAAAGTGTAATTGTGTAAATTATATTGATAGAATCAAAAAAAAAAAATACTTTTTTTTTGCGTTTTGATTCACTATAATGCCGGTTGATCGTACTCCACCGAAAGGTTGAGGCCTACAACAACTTAATCAAGAGCAAGAAATACAACAACAGTAAGAGCAGCAACATAAAACACAAAAGCAAACTTTACAAAGTCAGCAGCAACAGGAACAAAAATCGAAATTATGTCCAAATTCATTGACTTCTGTACCATCTCTATCACCTCAACCCTGGAGTGTTCAATGTAAAACTCCTAATTCCGGGAAAAATGTCGGACTTCCAAATAAACCCATCAAAGTACAAACAGGAATTGAACGATATACTCAAATAGTTAAGCGAAAACTTAGCCCACAAAACAACGCAAACAATCGTGATAAAATTCAAAAAGTTAACAACAATAACACTTCGTTCAATGTGTGTGACTGACAGATAGATGGCGGCATTAATACTAAATAAATATTTTTTTTCGAAAGTGGCAACCTTTTTAGGCTTACTATCAAAATCATATCTTAATCCGACCATTTATTTACAAGTTACAGTGCTTTAAGTGACGCTACTTTTGAGTTTTCAAAAAAAAAAATGAATTCAAAGCAATTCCGTGTGCTGATTTATCATTGTTTGTTAATGAAAAAAATACTGTTCAATGCCAGGAATGGCTTGAAAAACATTATTCGGACTCTGCTGCATCAAAAAGAAGCATTTGTTATTGGTATGCCGAATTTAAACGTGATCGTACAGACACCGATGTTATTCCATCTACGGGACGGCCAAATGACGCTGTTATTCCGGATAACGTTGAAAAAACACTGAAAATCATTAGATCCGACCGTAAAGTGAAAGTGAGGGAGATTGCTGACATTCTACAGATATCACCATGTAGTGTACACACCATAATACACGAACATTTGGGTATGAAAAAGGTGTTTTCCTAATGGGTGCCGCGTTTGCTCACACCGGAGCAAAAACAACAACGAATCGATGATTCAAAGAGCTGTTTGGACATGTTTACGCGCAATAAGTCGGAGTTTTTGCGTCGGTACATTACGATGGATGAAACATAGATCCACCATTTCACTCCAGAGTCAAATCGGCAGTCTGCTGAGTGGCATGCAGCCGTTGAAAGCCGCCCAAAGCGACCAAAGACGCAGCAGTTGGCTGGCAAGGTTATGGGGTCTGTATTTTAGGATGCGCATGGAATAATATTCATCGACTATCTCCAGAAGGGAAAGACCATCACCAGCGACTATTATATAGCGTTATTGGAGCGTTTGAAAGACGAAATCGCAAAGAAACGGCCTCATATGACGAAGAAAACAGTTTTGTTCCACCAAGACAATGCACCGTGTCACAAGTCGATGAAAACGATGGCAAAATTGAACAAATTGAGCTACGAATTGCTGCCGCACCCACGGTATTCTCCAGATCTGGCCCCCAGCGACTACTGGCTCTTCGCAGACCTCAAAAAGATGCTCCGTGGTAAGAGATTTGGCTCAAATGATGAAGTAATCGTAGAAACTAACGCCTATTTTGAAGGCAAAGAAAAATCGTTTTACAAAGGTGGTTTCGAAAGATTGCTAAAGCGTTGGAATGATTGTATCTCCCTAAAAGGGGACTATGTTGATGAATAAAAACGAATTTTGGCAAAAAAATGTGTTTTAATTAGTTAGTCACACACATTATTGAACGAAATGTTACTTATAACAACAGATTTAAAGCACTGAGTGATGAAAGCGAAAACATAGAAGAAATCAAAGAAAAAATTGTTAAACCACCGCCTATCTATGTAAGAGAAAAAAACTCAAGTGATTTAGTTAATTCACTTTCAAATTTAATAGGTAAAAAAAATTTCTTTGTTGTACCTATTAAAAAGGGCATGATTAATGGAACCAAGATACAAGTTTCAAGTGAAGATCATGTTCGAAAAGTAATTGCTGAATTAGAGATAAAATCGAAACAGTTTTATACCTATCAATTAAAAAGTAGTAAAGGACTAATAGTGGTCATAAAAGGCATAGAGGCAGGAGTTTTAGCTGCTCTAAGACAAAAGTTAAACGTTGCCCAAAGACAGCGCACCCCACAGCTTAATCTGCCAAATTTCACAACATTTCATTTCCCGTCCCTTCCACAGAATACTGGTCCCGGATTGCAACCACCGGCTCCACCAATACAGCAAATGACGTACGCAAATGCCACCAAACAAATCCCACTTCTTACCAATAGCTCCACTGTTGTTCCAGGCTTTGAAGCAATGCTCGCAAGTTTTACCCAAAAAATTGAACACTTCATGGACTTCATGCAAAATATGATGAATACCTTGATGCAAAGCATGATACAAAACCAAAGTTTGATTGCTGAGTTGGTAAAACCCAAATGAATGCAATCACAATATGCCATTGGAATGCAAACGGCTTAAGCCATCATGTACTGGAAGTAACTAGATTTCTAGTGAGTAACAATATCGATATACTGCTTATATTCGAAACACATTTAACCTTCAAAAACTGTTTTCGAGTTTATGAATATAAGTTTTATGACACTAAACATCCAGACGGTAAAGTATGTGGCGGTTCTGGAGTACTTGTTAGAAACACAATACAACATTATGAAATCCAAAAGCATTGTTTTAAATACCTTCAGGCTACATCAATTTGTGTAATTTCTGGTCTAACTAAAACCGTCGTCTCAGCAATATATTGCCCACCCAAATTTGCTATTAATTCTGACCAATTCCGGAAATTTTTTACTGATCTCGGTCCTAACTTTCTAGTTGCTGGGGATTTCAATGCTAAACACACCTTTTGGGGTTCTAGACTAATATCTCCAAGAGGTCGTCAACTGTATGCAGCACTTGGCGACAGCCTTGATGTTGTGTCCTCAGGCCACCCAACATACTGGCCATCAGACAATCGAAAAACACCAGACTTAATCGATTTCGCAGTCATTAATGGTATGAAACGTGAAGATATTGCTGTTAAATCATCTTATGACTTGTCCTCTGACCATTCTCCGGTTATTTTAACTCTGACAAAATTTAATACTAATTCAATTGAGCAGAATAAGAAAACTCTAATAAACTGGAGGAATTATAGAAATATTACACTGGTCAACAAAGATTTTATCCTAGAGACGTTGTTAAGAGATCCTAGACGTGTTTTTCGTGCTGATTCCGAATCTGTATTTAGATTCTTTCTATCACGTCTAGATTCTTCAAAACAGTTGAATGTATATTTTTGCTATAAAGTCG